GCTGTATTGCTCTAGGTATTCTGGCAACATACAATGACAATACCCCACCATATCACAAATTTTCTGTTACTTTGAATGTCAGTGCTCTGCTGCAGGTTAAAAAGATGAAGCTGCAATATGTTCAATGAATGCTTCTTATTGTTAGTACTGCATTTTAAGAAAGAATTGGATTGTTCCATGTGATGATGTAGGGCATTACATGGAAAAGCTAGTTTTCAGAGGAGGCCCTGCACTTGGAACACCACTGAGCTCACGGTGCTCGGGCAGCCAACTGGACGTGGGGTTCTGCTGGGGTCCAAAGATCTGGAGCCTCTTGCCCCAAGCCTCCCTTTGCACCTATCATGCTGTTTCAGAACAAATGAAAAAACAGCTTTTGTACAACATATGTTCAGTTCCTATAGTAAGCTATTTTTGCAGTTGGAAGGCCTCAGGCATTACTATCCTTCCAAGCCATACACAAACAAAGAGGGTTTACCACAAAAAAGAGCCTCTGCTGAAGAGTGTAAGGTTTACCTTTGCTCCCTCCCTCATGATCCTCCTTGATTTCATCAAGTTCTATAAAATTTCAGTTTAACCTTATCATTGAATTCTTATTGCTACCTGACCTAAGGTCAACTATACTTTCAAAATAAATAAAGAAAAAGATATAATGCAATCAACTGGTAAGTCTGAACCATTGCTATGTTATTTCTGTTGTACACAAGAACACACTGTGTTTTCAGTGTAGGTGCTCTGCTATAATCAGGGTAATAGTGGTCTAGAGGGCTCTAAACCTGCATGTGCAGAAACCAGGTACAGACTTAAAGATGTAGGCTACACCATCTACACTGCTGGAGTAGGAGCCAGAAGAGCACCTCTTCTAAGCACAGGGATGCATATCCTAGGAGAGTTCTTGTTCCCAGCTGCTACAAGTTTCCAGGCAGCTTCCTACCTTTTCTCTGGCTTTCCAGCCTGGCTGCAAGAAAACGTGAGTATGATGGTATGGAGGCAGCTGCATCTCCTGCTGGCCCACATCTGCTGGCATCTGTTTCAGCCTTACCTAGGACCAGGCTATGTCCATTTTCAGCAGGGGAGGTGGTTTCCACTCACACCTAAGTGTTTGCTGTTCTTGCAGATATGTTACCACACGTGCAGATCTGTGTGGTAACATATCCAGCTACCTTTGAGGCAGGTATCCCTCAGACACCAGTCTGGCCCTCACACACTGAACAGGTTATTAGAACAAAAATGTTAGTGCACATTGCTGGACATAATTTGTATCCACAGGTGGGGGAATGTGGCTAAATATCTGGCTCTAAGTGACTTGATACATGATAAAAGAGGCATTAAACCCTGGTCTCCTGCTTCCTTGCCCTGAACTTTTAATCAATCTACTTATCTCCTTTTATGAGGAACTTGTGAGGAAGTCTACATCAAAGGAAAAGATACATTTTTATTTTGCTTCAGAAGTGTTAACAATATTTATTAAAAACATTTCTGGCCAAAATGCCAAAAATCACCTGATGTTCAATTATAAAAATACCACAACTGCATTTGAAACTTTACCGTAACTACAGCCTAAAAGTGAAACTAAAAAAGTGAAAGTTGCTTGTTGTTTTATGATACACAGGCTGAAAGAAATGCAGAAAGTAAACAAAAAAGCACACATAAACATACAAAAAACTGGTTTTTGAATTCTAAGATATATTTGCACCAGAGGGAAAGGTGGCAATTTATAAGACTTTGATAGGAAAAAACCACGTGTGATCATACAAGTGGTTAGACACTGATTCCACAGTATTCCTTGTAGATTCTGTGATAAACACAGAAAAAATAGGAACACAGAGGTAGAGACTGCTGCTGAGATTTTCCAAAGGCTAAAAAAAAGTATGCAACTATCTCCTGTACATTTGGAAAATCCTGGGCTCACTGCTCTTCTCCCAGCTGAACTCCCTTCACGATTCCTTTTCTGTTTGGTTATGCCTAGCTAACTATGCTGGCACTACTCAGCCCAGGTCATGCCAGCTAAACAGCAGATCGCAACAGGAAAACAGTAAGGAAGAAGACGACGCAGCTCGGATTTGATGTTTAACCAGGATTCTCGAAACTTTCTATACACGCTTTTAAACTTCATCTTGAGGTTTATGTTTGTAGTGGAAGTGCAGGAAATCAAGTAATTTAACTTGTATTTACCACTTAGATAATTACTTTTATTAAATTACCTATATAATTTGTGTAAGTAAAAAAAAAAATCACCAGAACATGCAGTTACACTGTTTACAATTACTCTGTCAGTTGATGCAATTACAATAAATAAGCTCAGAGACATCATTAATTAATGAAGTTGGAAGGGTGATGTAAGGAAGAAGTCTGCTACTACACATTTAAGGCATACGATATCTAAGTTTAGATGTAGAAGAGCGATTTTCTTTTGGGCTTTGGAAAGAATATATTGTAAAGAACCCTCACACATCAAAAGTCCCCCAGGCTACAGATGCTTAGGAAATAAAGCAAAATAGTAGAGTTGTGGCTTATTTCTAGCTAAATTTTAAACATTAACAATGAAGCAACCTCAGTGGAGTGCATGCACACACCTATTTTAGTGGGGTTTATATATGCAGAGTTGTGGAAGACTGATCTTTAAACGTAGAAAAAAAAAAAGAGGTGTCATTTGCCTCTGTTTTGAACAGAGTAAGAAGAACAGCAGTAAGAAGTGTTTTATTTGCAATTTTATGTAATCTTATGAACCAAATGTAGTGGATTCTTTTTTCAATTTGGGATGAAAAAATGTGTTTCTCTGGAGTCACAGGTACAGAAATGTTGTGTTGCAAAAAAACTGTCAGAAGAAAATTGTGCATATTAACAACTCTTCTGGAGAGCAATAATAGACATTCTTTGCATTTATTCAGCAAATTTAAATCCAAATCAGGAAGATGTTGGATTTATCTCAGTTAACACTGAAATATTTGCAAAAATCAATAAAGGAAAGTGTTTCCTGCAGAAGAAGGAAGAGAGAACCTTGCACAGTTTTGTTTGTACCTCTCTGGGATACTGTAGGCAAAATGACCACACCACTTCAGTGAAAGGTGCACTTTCAGTCCCAAAGAAGTAGTGCATATCCCTAACAGTAGATCCAGTGAATCCTGTCATATCCTTACAGCTGCACTGATGACAGGCCCAGCTCTGGGCCTTGTGTGTATGTGAGCAACACTCATTGTTGGAGCAGTACTCAGAAAACTCTCTTACTTCTAAATAACTTTCTGTAAAGGGTCCAGGAACATTTTATACACACAAAATTTACACTCCTGTGGCTTATTATCAGCTTTGATTTTGCAACAGTAGTATCCCAAACGCCTGACAACACTGTGGACACTAAGACACCTTTCCGTATTTTCTCTGGCCTCCTGATTACCTTCATTGCCCAAATACCTATTTACTGTAAAAAAAAACCCAAAAAACCAAAAACAGTCAAAAACAAAAACCCAAACTAAAAAGCACTTAAAAATCCAATTTATATGAGTAGCCTTGTTCTCTGCAGATGCCAAAATGCATTTTATACAAAGGTGTAGAACAGAGCTGAATTAGTCTTCAATTTTCCAGATTAGCATTAAACCCCCCCACTTCCTCGCAGAGACGCGCTTTTCAGACGTGTCACTGTACAAAGCCCCTTCACCCTGCACCAACACTGGTCCCCGGTGCAGCGGACCCATTTTACGGGCAGGCAAACCTGCAAACGGGGCCGGTAGGCACGGCACCTCCTACCGGAGGCTCGGGCAGGGCAAAACAGGAACGACGTGCACCCTCCGGATAATTTAGCACGAGGTGCGATCCCAAAAGCGACGCGTTCGCTCGGGGAGTCAGCCCCGGCTGCGCGTCCGTGCCCGCGGTGCCCGAGCCGGTGACTGGCGCTAAGCGTGAGCCCTGGGGCTCGGGGCACGGCGGCGGGGCGGTGCGGGGCTGCCCGGGGCTGTGCCCGGCGCTCGGCCCCGGCCCGCCCCGCCTCGCAGCCCGCTACGGCCCTCCGGCAGCGGCGCCGCGGGCTCGGGAGCGGCCCCGCGGCCCCGCCCCGGCCCGGCCCGCCCCGTCGGCGGCTCATTGATGAGCCGCGGGCCTTTGAGGAAAGGGCGAGTGCGCCGAAACCGCTGCAAAGCCATGATTTTTCAAGCGGCAGCGCAGCCTGGGAACTTTGCATGTTTCGCCATTTTTCACGTCCTGACTCATTTCTGTATGAAAAAAACGTGTTCTCTGGAGCTCATCGGACACCCGCCGCCCCTCCCGCCGCCGCGGCGGCAGGCGGCATCCATCGCCCGGCAGCAGCGAGGGGAACTATAGCAGAAATCCCCCGCGGCCAGGCAACCGCAATCAAGCCCCGGGCAGCCCCCGGTCCCCCTGAGTTCCCTCCGAGTTCCTTTTCTATTGCCAGCGGGGGTTGTTTGCCCCCCGAGGGCTGCGCTCCCTGCAAGGAGCGGAGCAGGTGCACCCGCCAAGGCCCACACCCCCCACTCCCCCGGGCGGCGGGAGGCACCTGCGTGGGCCGGGGGGTGGTCGCGGGGTCTCGCCCGAGAGTTCTCGCCCCATGGCTAGGCTCGCCTTCCCCACCCGCCGTGCACGGGGGAGAGGGGCTGCCCCCCGCCCCGACAGCTCCGTCAGCGACAGCAGCCGCAGGGCGCGGGCACGGGGGGGCTGCGGACGCGCCGTCGAGGGCCCGCGGCGCGGGAGCGGAGGCGGCGCTGGCGCGGGGCGCTCCCGCCGCTGCCGCGCGGGATGGGCGGGGCGCGAGGGCCCCGTGGGGCGCGCGGCCCCGGTCCTCCCGCCCCGCGCCCCGCCGCCGCGGCACGGGCCCGCCAGGCGCCTGCGCACTGCAGGGGCGCCAGATTTGGCGGGAGGGGGAGTGTCCAAGGGCCCTTTGTTTGATGGCATCTCTGTTTACAGAGTTTACTCTTTAATCTCAACCTGTTTCCTCCTCCTCCTCCCGCGGCTCCTCGGCACTCCCGTGCGCGGCGGCGGAGCGCCCAGGCGCAGCCCGGCAGCAGGGCGCGGCGGCGGGCGCGGGCTCGGTCTCCCCCGTCCTCCTCCCCCAGCGGCCGGTGCGAGGATGTCCCGGAGACCCCGGCACAGGTAACCCGCTGTCTGCGGGCGGGGATCGGCCGGCTGCGCTCCGCGCCTGTCAGACGGGGCGCGGGACGGGAGAGAGGGAAAGCGGCAGCAGGAGACCGGCTCGCCCGGCGGATGGGCGGGCAGCCCCCCGTCCTCCGTGCACCTGGTCTACTCCGCCCCCGGTGCCGAGGCGCTCCCCTCCTCCGGAGGCGCCGGGGGAGCCGCAGCCTAGCGGGACGCGCCGCGGAGCCGCCGGTGCCGCACGCCTGCGGGGGGCCGGTGCTCGCCGGCCGCAGGAGCCCGACGGAGCTGCGCGCCCCGCAGCCGCAAGGCGGGACAATGTCTGGCGGGCTCGGCGGCGGCAGGTAGCGCGTCCCGTCCCATTCATTCATTCATTCCCGGCCGGGTGAGGCGGCAGGTGGGCGGCGGGTGCGGGAACTCGTTTCGCTCCCTCGACTTTTTTTTCCTTTTATTCGTGCGACTCTTTCGCCCTTGGAAGCGCGACTCTCGCCTGCGGGGCTTAGCTTTTTCCCGGTGCACGCCACTCGGCACATACCGGAGCGCCGCAGCGCGGGCGGGGGGCTGCGGATCCGACGGAGCGCTCGGCCGGAGCTGTCAGCCGTGCCCGCCCGCCTGCCGCGCACCCGGGCCAGGGCGATCCCTGCCGCGCCAGGGGCCGGGGGCGGCGGTGCCCCGGAGGCGGCGGACTGGACGGGACGGGACGGCAGCGCCGCGTGGCCGGGTCCGTGCCGCCGCCGCCGGGCGGGCGCACGGAGCCGGATTGTTGTCTAATTAGCCGGGAACGGCGGGTCGGACACGTGGAGGCTTTTTTCTCTTTCTCTTTGCAGCCCGGCATCCTCCCCTTCTCCCCTCCCCTTTGGCCGGCTGTGACAGGGGAGAAGGTAGCAGCCCTGCCTGTCGCTTCCCGGGCGCCGGCCTCATCCGCTGACACTGGTGGCTCCTCCTAAGGAAGAGGGGCTTGCGGTGCGGGAGGAGGCGGCGAGCCGCTGGGCCAGCGCCGGGCTCTACTTTCAATGTCAGAGCGGGGCTGTCGCTAGGGCTGGCGGTGAATCACCCTGTCCGTCTCTCCCAAAAGAGAAGGACAGCCGCCGCTGCCTCACGGGCGCCTCCCGCAGGGACACGTCCGCCGCTCGGGGCTGGGAGGCCGGGGCGGCACGGTGCGGTGTCCGCCTGATCCACGGGCACTGCGCCGGCGGGAGCGGGCGCGGGCTCTGCCCCGCGGGGCTGGTGCCCGAATTCTTTCAATCACGGTAACTGCAGCGAGTCATTTCCTCTACAGCTCCTCTTTGGGTTTTTTGTTGTTTTTCTTTTTACCTCTCCCTTTAAAAAAAAAAAAAATAAAAAAATTGGGGTTTTTTTTAATTCTTTTCCCCATGTATCGTTGTACAAGCCGGTTGCCGCGGCGAACAGCGCAGCGCTGATGGGCGGCCGGGGGAGGGAGTCCCGCTGTCCCGGCCGGGCGGAGCGCCGTGCCGTGCCAAGCCACCCGTGGGGAGGCTTCGGGGCTGCGGCCGGAGGTGCAAAATAAAGTTTTAGAGCACCGCTGAGGGCCCGGTTGAGTGAAAAACTACCGAGCGTCCCGAAATCCCAGGGCACTTTTCTCCTGCTGGAGGGCGCAGGTAGTACAGTGAAGTTTGCTCTGTTCTGCGGTGCCAGCGAGGCCACAGTCATTTAAATAACCCTGTTACAGAACTGGCCCCGCACTGAAGTCCTTTAACGTGTTGGCCGCTGATGCTCTGCTGTGCTGCTGCTGCAGAGCGGCGTTTCCCCGCCGTGCCCGGCCCGCAGGAAGCGCCGCCGATGGATGCGGACATACCTGTTGGTTGTCGTCTACGGAAAGCTCTTTTTCAAAATGATACTTGGAAACTGTGCCACAAAACTTCCTTCGGCATATGGGCAGCGGCGCAGCTGTCTCTGTGTGTCACTGAGAAAAGTGAATCTGCTTCGAGCGGCGTCCGGGGAAGAAGCCGCGCTTGTGGCAGCTGGAGCGTGGGAGCTTTTGCTCAAGCACGGGAGGCTCCAGCTGCCGACGAGGGGGGTGCGTGCGGAGGGGGAGCTTCCACGGGGGCTTACTGCCGGTGCTTACGGGGTCTGGGGAATAGGGAATGAACCGTGGGGCTGCAGGACTGCAGCGCGAGTTGGGGGTGGCAGCGATGGACTGGGCGGGTGAGTCGGGGCACCCCGCAGAGGCTGCAGGAAGACCACGCACAGCACAGCAGGCTGTGGAAAACTTGTGTGGAAAACTTTTTGCATGTAGCATGTAAGCGTGTTCTTTCATGGCCCATGGCACAGGCCAGAAAACAGGGTGGAAGATGTAGGGTGTGATTAGCCCAGCACTTTTAAAGAATGTATGTTCAGCAGCTTGCATTTTGGAGGTGCTTGCATCTTGACTAACAGACACCAGGCTTCACTGCAACTTAATTTCAAGTAATCTCCTGAAAACTGGTTAATAGCATCAATAGCGCCTGTTAATTTTATTACAAAATAACTTTATTTTAATTTCTTAGTCATACTTTTAACATACCACAGCAGGCCATACTATCAGACAGATCACAGTTTTTAATCTTAATGACACTGACTCCTTTCTAACACTCGTGGCTAGCATCTCTTAGCTGAAGTATCAGAGCTGCTGCTCGTACCTTGAAAGTTAGAAGTAAAATACTGCCCACCAGAAAGACACATGTTGTTGCAAAACACTCTCTTTTAAGATTTAGTTAGCTGGGTAGAGCAAGTGCTGTTTGTGAAAAGAGTCATGGAGTCCTTTATACCCATAGATAGCCTCTGGGGAAATCCCTTAGTCATGAATTAGGTGAGCAGAGTATTTCAAAAACAGTATGAGGGATTTAGAAATAGATTAGAGGTAATAAAGTTATAGAAATGGAGAGTATAGAAGGATTCAGTCATTTATTTCTGGGTTGCAGGATATTAAACTAACTTGTCCTCAGTCCTTATCTGTCCAAACCCATAAATGGAGGGCATACTTTATATTAGAGCTTATTGAATGTTAATGCTGCCACTTACTGTCTTACATAATTGTAAAAACTTGTGCCTTCTCATATAGGGTCCATAAACATTTTCTCAAGCAAGGTTATTGTTTAGCTTTTTGTTTTGCTACAGAGTCTATTTTATTTTGGAACAGTGTAATAATCTGCTGCATTAAACATATGAAACCAGTGATATTTTTCAGAATGTATGGCACGAGTTAAAGATCTTAAACATGTACTCGTGTGCTGGACACAGCCTCTAGTTGTCTTTATTGTCCCAAACATTGTATTTTAATTTGAAACCTTCATTGGTTGAAAGTTTGCCAAATGTGTAATTCACCACTGATCTAACATTAGGAGCAGGTCTAAACATGCACAGTAATACGAAGGTTGCCAGCCCTTTGCTTGTATCTGTGGATACCAAAAACAGCAGAACCAGTTCAGAATACTAGAACAACAGAATGCAGAACAAAATCTTGTTGTGCAAGTTTTAAAACTTTTATCTGTGTAACCTTTGTAAGGATTGTAGTGGGGGTTTTTTTGTGTTCTGTAATTAAGTAGCTCAAGTCCTCATGCTCCACTCTGTTTCGCTGTGTTTCCTTTTGCAGTATATATAGTAGTGATGATGATGAAGAAGATGTTGAGGTGTACGATCACGATTATGACGGTCTGCTTCCTAAGACTGGAAAACGTCACTTAGGAAAAACCAGGTGGACCCGCGAAGAGGTAAATCCAAGTTCATTCCTCTCCTGCACATGAAAAGATAAGAGAGAGCATGGATCACATTCTTCTCCAAGTTGCTTCATGTTCTTCACCATATTGCTAATCTGCAAACTTCAGTGACAGTCCCATATCTGAGGACAACTTTTTTGACCCGCTAGCTACATTCAGTGTTTTATTTAACTTTGAGCATAGTTCTCATCTTTTAAATAAAATGTACAAACACGACTTTTTAATTTCCACCAAGCTCTGCGTTACAGTGTGTGATGTGTGAATCTCTGTAATCCCTGTTGAAGAAGCAGATTCCGAATCACCTGTAGCAGTGCTTCATTGTTGCTGCTTGCCTCTTTCTGTTTGGAAACTGTTGCTATGCGAGAACCGACCTGTGTTCAGTGTCCCACAGCAGCAAACAACAGCGGCAGAAACTGCTGCAGTCCTTCTGTACCATTGGAATTTTGCACTTTAATTGCACTGTTATGATTCCAAGTGGAAATAAAGTAAAGGCTGGAGGAAAGAAATCCAGCAGTACCAAAACAGAGCATTCAAGATGTATTTTGCTTTTCAAGGTCAGAACGCGTTTTAGTTGTGGTACCCTTGTAGTGACTTTCTGGGAGAATTGTGGTGTCAGACTCCTTCTCCAAGTGAATCTCCTTTGGCCATTTAACTGGTTTGAGTTTGTTGTGGAAGACATTAATACAGGTCTTGAGTTATGTTTTGACTTTCTCTTCTCTAACGATGTGTATTGATGTAAAAACAGGGGCAGGTCACCCCTTGCAAGCCTTTTATTTATTTATTTTAAATCACAGTCTGCCCTTACAAAGGTGGATGTGGTTGTGATGTGGCCAGGGAGGAAAGGATGGCCATGAAATCCATTCCTGTCACATGAACTGGGAGCATACTGGGAAGTGTTAACCCAGTATGTAAGATTCGTTTCTTTTGTCTTTAGGGTCTATATTTCTGGCCTTATCATTAGAAAGATTGGGCCAAATATTTTGCTATTTGCAACTATGCAAAACTCCCTCACAGAGAGCAAGAGCAAAAAGGAGCTGTTAGTTTTATTGTGCATTTATTGTAGGTGGATAGGCCTTGAGCAAATCACTGGAACTCCCATTACTTGCGAGATGCATAAAGCTTAAGGCTGTGATGTTCAGAGGTTCCCAGGTAGCTGAGTGCCTGGGTGTTACTGAATTTCAAGGTTATTCTGATGTTTGGTATCTAAATTCCCATTTCCTCCTGTAAATCTGGTCCAAGAATAACAGTTACAGTGCTTTGATGAGTAAAATGTGAATGTATATTGTGAGTCAAAGATCTGCACAGAAGTCAGTCTTTCTCCTACAGCACAGTAAAGAACCTACCAAAATCCAAAGGAGTAGAAAAATCTTCTGCTTTAGGCAATTAAAGGCATGAGAAGTCTGCAGGCCACCCTGCAGAAAGCAGAAGTAGATGCATAAGAACAAATTTTTAAAAAAAACATTTCATTGGGATTACAAGAGATTGCAATATTTATTATATCTGGGGTCTTTTTTTTTTTTATGATTCAGGATGAGAAGTTGAAGAAGCTTGTGGAGCAGAATGGCACAGAAGACTGGAAAGTCATTGCCAATTTCCTTCCTGTAAGTGGATATTGGTTTCTGTTTCTAGGCTTAGTAGCAGCTCTTTATCAAGGGGTTTCCTTGATAAAGGGGAAGAGGAGTGGTTGCTTTATAGTTGTATTTTCAGGGGAGATTTAAAACTTCCACAAACGTAGACCTTAGAAATTTAGTTAGATTACTGTAGAAACCCTTACATTTATTTTTTCTTTTGCTTCTCATAAAGAGTTGGAAAATATCAAACAAGCAAAAATGAGGGATGGTGGGTATTTGCACAGTAGATGGTCAATGTGACAATGAGACAAAATGTCTAAGCACAGCGAAAAGAAATAACTTTAGTGAATTGTAAGTATGATTTTGAAGCTAATTGCTTAGTGAACAGTTTGGCTGTTGCTGAAGTAGTGCATGTGAAAGCATGCCAGCTATTGTGCAGATGGGGAAGTTTTGGTGATGGAGTCCTCAATGCAGAAGTGATGGAAATCTTACCTATTCTGTGAGCAAACTGATAGGTGACCACCTTCGTCTCAGACTTACTGTATCACTCTATGTTGTTTAGTAGTCTTAGCTGGCAGTGAAGTACATCAAAACAAGTGTGTGTAAATAAGAGCATTCTCACTCTACTTTCATCTTGTCTAAAGGATTTTCCACTCTGTGTATTTCCCATTTCACTAGAATCGGACAGATGTTCAGTGCCAGCACCGGTGGCAGAAGGTACTAAACCCAGAACTTATTAAAGGTCCGTGGACTAAAGAGGAGGATCAAAGGGTAATCAGTTTTCCTTTCTGTCTGATTAATGCCTTACTAGCAGGTTTCAGGTGTTGGGGCAAAACTCCTGGAAACTTTGGTGGTCTCAGCATTATTATGGCCAGAGGCAGATTGTATTTGTGTAGTGCTTTCTAAGTTTGCTGTGCAAATAAATTACTGTTGCTTTACAGCACTGTAATGTAGAATTGCAGTCTAGAAATGCCTTAACTATTACCAGATTTTTCCTTTTGGGTAAAAATATGAATGGGAAGTGGGGAACCTTAATTGCTATTAGTTTTACTGTGGCAGTTTTGAGAAATATTGTTGAAAATATTGCTTCATCACAGAAAAAAAATTAATTGATTCATCATGCATCATTAAATACAGGCAGTTTTTATGTCCTTCTTTGAAGGTAATAGAGCTCGTTCAGAAATACGGTCCAAAGCGCTGGTCTGTCATTGCTAAGCATTTGAAGGGAAGGATTGGAAAACAGTGCAGGGAGAGGTGGCACAACCATTTGAATCCAGAAGTGAAGAAAACCTCCTGGACAGAAGAGGAAGATAGAATTATTTACCAGGCACACAAGAGGCTGGGAAACAGATGGGCAGAGATTGCAAAGTTGCTGCCTGGACGGTAATGACATATGCTTTTAGCTCTTAAGAAAGGAAAAAAATGAAAAAGCTGCAGGTCTGAGCAGTCTGTTTTGGTAGCCTCAGGCTGCACTGTATAAATCAAAAAAAATTTGGAATCAAAACCTGGGAAGCCAGTGATGCTGATGTGCGTTTTTCTCTGTGGGGAACTTCACTGTTTGGTCAGTACATGCAACAATCTGCTATTTTTACAGGCTTTTAATGTTTGCCATAGGTAAAATGCCAGTAACTGGAGCAAGACCATGAGTTTCCTAAATGTCTGTGCAATCTTATTTGTGCATGTGATGACTGTCAACATTTAAATCAATTAAACAGGGAAGGATCAGGCTCTGCAAGTGGATCATAATTTACATTCAGCTATGGGTATGCCTTCAATATGAAATGTAGCCTGTCTATTCAAAATGATTTAAGAGAAGGTTTCTTCAACTTTTGTAATTGCTCTTGAATCATCCAGATGATTTTGACCTGTTAAAAAAAACATGCATAAAGCAGGAGAAACTTTTTCTTCAAACTCTGGTCCTGGAAATACTTGTCTCATGGAAAGCTTTTGTCCAGCTTGTATATAACCTCAAAGGTCCAGTGTCTTACTTGCTGTGATTAAAAGTGACTCAAAATGTGGGCAAGCAACTAATGCAAGCAAGGGAGAGGTTTCCCTTCCTTCTTTTCTTCCTGCTATTTGACAAAACATCTTCAAGACCTAAATATAAGGCCCAAGATCATGATGGCCTTTCAAGCAGTCATTCCCTAGGCTGCTTTCACTTTCTAGAAGATAACAAGAAAGGAATTAGCCCTTGGGAATATTTTTGTAGCTTCCACACATCAGAGATGCTTCTTTGAATGATATAATGCAGTGGTGATGTTTTTCAAATAGCAGAGTTGTTTTAAAGCTTACTCCTAAAATCTCACAAACTTGGTAAGTTTGCTTTTCCTGACTCATAAATGTGAGGATTTGAATCTCAGTTTTTCTGCATCTAAGAAAAATCCCAGCAGTTTTGTTTACAGAGTTTGTGTACAGCATGATGTTGTTGTTGTCTAGGTGACCAGCTGGAAAGTTGCTTGGAAGTTAGTCTGTTCACAGCTGTTCTCCACAGTCTTTCTTTCCATCAATGAGACACAATAAGACTCCACTGAAATATTAAGATATAGGAAGATGATGCTGGCATTCTTTTAGGATAGCCTCAAAAGGATGTTAGCCTTTGTTGTCTCCTCACTTCATGGGAATGAGGTGAAGATGAAGTTAGAAATTTCTTACAATTTGAGGATCTAAGTCATGAGGGATTGCTTTAAAAAGTACGTAAACAACTGTAGCCTGTTTTTCTTTTTCCCTAACTTTTATACTGAGCATCTTTCCTGAGAAGTAGGGAGTAGCATTTGTAGTGGTGGGGGTAGGAGGAAGGTCAGAGAAGAGCTCAGGGTTCTAACAGAAACGCCGACAGCAGTTCCCTGCCCGCTGATCTGTCTGAATTGGAAATGCTCATTTTTCAAACTCCTCTGTATTTCTGTTGCAGAACTGATAATGCTATCAAGAACCACTGGAACTCCACCATGCGCCGAAAGGTTGAGCAGGAGGGCTACCTGCAGGAGTCCTCCAAAGCCTGCCACTCCTCAGCAGCTGCTGGCTTTCAGAAGAACAACCACTTGATGGCCTTTGCTCACAACCCATCGCCACCCGCCCAGCTGCCGGTGGCCAGCCAGCCCCCGCTGAGCAGTGACTACCCCTACTACCACATCCCTGAGCCACAGAACGTAAGTGCCTGAAAATGTCAGTGTGCTGGGGGTGCTTGTCTTGCCTCCTTGAATGGATGGGTGCCATTTAGCCGTGCCTGGTTTCAGCATGAAGGATTTTCTTTGTCTTGGTGGACTTGGGTGTGTTTGATGTCAGATGAGGATTTCTTTGACTTTTACTTAAGTTCAGTGGTGAAAATAAGTACATTTCAAACTGGTGGTGTTCAAGTGGTGGAAATGGGTCCAGCGGGTTTAACGCCTTGGGAGCAGTTAACTTATTTCTTAGAGCTGTGAATATTAAATTTCTTGAATATCGGTTGAATCTGCTTAATTCTGTGTCCCATGTCAAAATCTTCCACATGCTCTTTAGTAGTACTCTGCTTGTGGGTTGCCTGTCGGAACCAAGTGAACAAGTATTGTTTTTAATTAAATTTCTTTTCTATTAATGATTAATAATGAAACAGGCTCCTGCTTCAGACAGTTGCATTGCTTTTTCACTTCAATTTAGAAAATCCTTACAAATGTGTCTATAAATTATTCATCTTGTCTTGTTCAGGAAGGGTAAATATTTCATATATGAATTTTCTTTCTTCTTCTCTAATGCTCACTGTCATATTCCTAAAAACTTGATTACTTTTCTTGTAAACATTTTTAGGTTTTTTGCTATTTCATCTCCACAGACTACAAATATTGTGTACCTAAAGCCAAAGTATGTTTAACACAAATCGAGAATGCAAGCAGATGATATGATGGAAATAACCAATTTTTGCTTTTTCACCTAGGTTCCTGGTCAGATCCCGTATCCAGTAGCACTGCATGTAAATATTGTCAATGTACCTCAGCCAGCTGCTGCAGCTATCCAGGTAGATAACTTGAACCTCATTTCAAGAGTCAATTTCTTAAATATTTGATAAACTAAAATGCAGACATCGTACGTTAAGGAAACATTTTAATGTATTAAGTGTGGTGAAAACAGAAAATGGGGAAGGTCGGGGAGTGCTAACATGGCTAATAGTTGCTCCTTCTGAAGTGGATTTAAAATGCAGTAGTTGACATCTGGTGTGATGGCTTTCACTTTCTCCATTTCAATTGTCTATACTGAAATTCAGCAGAGACTTTGGTAGTGGAAAACACAATTGACATTTGTTTCATCTTTGAATCTGATTTGGCTGTTATAACCACAGGTCAGCAAACCGTGAGCGTTTTAGTTGCTACATCCTATCAGACCTTTATCTTTTCTTTTCCCTTAACTCTTAATTTCAGAGACACTATAATGATGAAGACCCTGAGAAAGAAAAGCGAATAAAGGAATTAGAGTTGCTACTAATGTCGACTGAGAATGAACTGAAAGGGCAGCAGGCATTACCAGTAAGATTGTCACTGTGTGCTTGGATGGAGGGATAGCAGCCTTACCCCAGTGCTTGTCTTTTTAACTTTTTACTCCCCCTCTGCCTTCAGTACTAATCAAGGCTCTATATTTCCGTTTTAAAAGGATGAAACATAGCACATATAAAATCTGTATCTGCTTCGTAAATTCTTCTATTGAAAAAGAAAATCCAAACATTTTGCAGGTATTTTACTTTGCAAAGTGAGAGCAGGACTGGGCTCTGTAACGTGATGTAATATTGGAAATGTGATGATTGTACAAAAATTGAAAATCCTACAGACCGTTAATCAATAATGGGATCTGTGTTTCTGAAAGTGTGCAATGGTTCACGTGATGAAAATGTAGTGCCTGTGCATTAGATTTTTCTTCTCTTTTATATTCTTTCCTTCAGCTGTGTTTTATAAACTTCATAAGCTTCAGACTTGGTGCATGTTTGAGAATTTGTTTTACTCCTCCAAATAATGTTAGATTCTTCATAACTGCATGTGTGGAGCAAGTGCTGGCTATTACTGAATTCTTGTACTTCACTATATATGCCATTGGATGTTAATGTGTGAAAACCCTTGTGTAACTACTTAACACCATCGCCAAAGCCAAGAATCCCAAAATAATTTTTGAAGATAGGTGATAGCCAGCAGAATATTTTTTTTTTTTTTTTCCTTTTGGGTAATAGTTAAATTAGTAGTAAAAGAACTGCATGCATGATACGTTAGTTTGGCCACTTTTTAACTTTAGTTAATGTTTTGCAATTTCTTCTGTTGCATGATCACACTGGAAAGAAACTTCTGTTAATTTGTTCTTCTGCTTTCCTAACCACGTTGATTTGACAGCCTCTTCATTGCATTGGTGTAAGCTGTAGCATTAGACAGGGATAGCAGAAGAAAAGGAGATAAGCAGACAAAAGCAACTCTAACTCTAAAAACTTTTAGCCTTCTACGGTGCTGAGCGCTCAGTAGGGAAATCCTGCCGTTTCTCACTTCTTACAGAAAAGGACTTGCAGACGCTTTTTGAGCACTTGGAATAACAAAGTATGAATTGATTATGTGCTAGTAATGACATATGTCTATAATCCTGGAAGTAAATTATGAGGTAACTTTGGGATAACAAATACAATGCCAGTATTACTTAAAACAAGATCTTGCACTGATGAAAGGAAACATCTTGACAATTGTTTCATAGGCATAAGCCTTTAGACGATGATGCAACTACTTTTATCTTTCCTCCAGTGGCATCTGAAACCTTGTGCAATTTCATTGCTAAGTTCCTTCTGCCTTTCCCCCCTCCCTTTTCTTCTTTTTTTTTTTTTTCCTCTTCTTTTACACACAGAACCACACATCAAACTACCCCGGCTGGCACAGCACCACAATTGCTGACAGTACCAGGACCAGTGGTGACAGTGCACCTGTTTCCTGTTTGGGGGAACATCACCACTGTACTCCATCTCCACCGGTGGATCACGGTTGCTTACCTGAGGAAAGTGCATCCCCTGCACGGTGCATGATTGTTCACCAGAGCAACATCCTGGATAATGTTAAGAATCTCTTAGAATTTGCTGAAACACTCCAGTTAATAGACTCCGTAAGTAGACTTGCTGCCTCAGGTGGATTTGTGCATGGTCAAGGAGCAAGGGGTGAGGAGCTGGGATTCTCCTAAATGTGGCTGTTGGTTTTTTCCCCCCGAGTAACTTTGAGTTGCTCCAGGATCTGAAGCTTATCTTCTGACATGACAAAGCGCAGCTGCTTGTAAGTGAAGCCCTCAAGCATGGGTGCATATGCTTTTTGTGGGTGTCTCCCTTTCCTGCTACATCTTGGAATGGGAGTGTGAGTTTTGGCAAGCTGCACAGTAGGAGCTTGAAACAATCTCTCAATTTTAAGTCTCCTTAAAATAAAATCTGAGATACCATGAAAAATTTTAAACAATGAAATGGTATTTACTGATATTTGAAGTCACACATGCCATAGGTTTGTGTGTGGCTGCTCATGTATCTGCATCATTTTCTAGAATTTTTAGTTGTAGCCTTGACAGCTGCTTCTTCAAGTTTAAGGAGCTTGCCCTGGCATATGTGAAGGACTGTAAACACACATTTAAATGTCAGGTATCTGACTGACATGGGCCTGTTTTCATTGCAGTCTCTGGGATGCTAATGTAAAGAGGTAGCACATTGAAGTACTTTTGTTGGTGGCAACCTCCTTCAGAAGCAGAGATGTCTGCTTCATGCGGTATCATTTCCCTTTCAGCCCATCCAGAGCAGCATTGCATGTTAGGAGGAGGCCAGTTTTGGTCTACAGCACACATTTTTTTTTAACAAAAGGCACCATCATCATACCAAGCAGAAAACACTGGGCAAACAAATAGTAAGGACATAATTTGGCTCATTTGTTAGGGACTCAGTTGCCAGCAACACTAGTAGGATGTCAGACAGTTTGATAAGATCAAGGTATGTACTGAAAACACAAATTGCGTTCACAGTGTTGCTGCTCCCATGAACAGGGTCAGGCTGAACTGAACTGGGAAAGACTTTGTTGTTGTTGGTTACAGGCATATCCTAGCGCTGTATTTTCATGAGGTGGCACTATACACTGTCTTATAGCTCCGTGCCTCCCACGTTGTTTCAGAATCCTTCATCATGGGGTGATCTCAGCAGTTTTGAATTCTTTGAAGACACAGACACTCCGGCTAGCAGAGCTCCCTCAGGCACAGTCGCGCAGCTTCAGCAAAGAGGGGCCAGTGCTTGTAGACCTCAAGGACAGCCCACCACAAATTTGAGCAAAGTCATGTCGAGTCAGGGCTCTCTTGGCTCACCAAAGACCTTATCTGCCTCACAGGGCAGTGCGGCTCCGTGGGTCCTTCTTCGCAAAAGGAGAGGGCACTGCAGCCCCTTAGCCAGTGGCCACGGTAGCACCTTGGTCCTAGCTGACGTCAGCAGCTCAACTCCTCCTAAGCGCTCCCCTGTCAAAAGCCTGCCCTTCTCTCCCTCGCAGGTAGATCAAGACTTCTGCACAGATGTTACTAATTCTCAAAAGTCACCCCAGTCTTAACAATTTAGAAACTAATCATTTGGAACAAATGACTAATTACCGTTGTGCTTGTTGATTTCACTCCGTGTTTGAATCTTCTCACTGCTCCTAGTCTTCACCACTGAGTTTAGTTAATCAGCAAGTTAACTGTTGATTCTTGTCTTTTGAATTCATCTCTGGGGCTTGGTTTTTTGTGTTTTGGTTTTTGCCTTTTTGGATCTTTTTTTGTGGGGGAGTGTGATTCCTCGCTTTACTCTTGCTGCTAACTCCAACTACTAGAGTTTAACATTTCTGATCACCTGTGATACTTTCCATCTCTGTCCACTTGCAGTATGATTCACTGACCTAGAAAACCCCAAACTGCATTTAAATAGCATTCAGGTTGTGAGACAAACTGACAACAACCAGAAAATTCAAATCACACTTGCCATCCTCTGCCCAGGCCATGAGAGTTGGAGTGGAATAGGAATGAGGAGAATGACCCGTTAAAATGGCCTGGCGTGCACTTTCAAATTCCTGATGATGGTTGCTTTGTTTCACAGCTGTAGCACTATTTAAAAGTGTTTTGGATTTTTTGTTTGTCTGCGTTGGTTTGCTTTAGTCTTTGATGTCAAAGAAATGTTATTTCGTGCAGGATAGTAAAAGATTTCATGTAATGATTTCCCACTGTATTTTCCATTACCTAATAGCTATTTTAATCATATGTAATTTTTCCACTGAAAGCCAGATTTTCTTACCTGCCACATTTCTATAAAGTGGCAGATCGAATCTGGAAGGGAATACATTGAATTGTTGTCAGAATAAAGGATATCACTATGCTCACAAATTTGTAGATGCTAGAAATAGAAGCAATATTTTAGATTACTAGGTAGAACACATGCAAGAGCAATTTTCTCCAAACAGATACTGCTGCCTCTTTTTCAGTAAGTTTTTTCCATTCCAAAGCATTCCACGCACCCATCAAAGGTGGCAGCTTTCATTTTATGCTCTGAAAATGAAGTATTTTCTTTTGAGAGACATGATAGGAAATATATTTTCCTGTCATAAACACTTTATTTACTGCCCTAAAAGCTGTTAGATGCCCCATATAAATATTTTTGGAATTTAACCCTGTTTCCTGTGGGTTTGTTTCTGAAACATTCCTTGCTCATTTTCACCCAGTTTCTTGGTCACACTGGTCTTAATTAAAATTTGTTTGGAGAAAATCCAAATCAGGCTCTGGAAGTGATAGAAAGTGTTTCTCATTGGAACAGTCATTTCCTTTAGAATTTCCCTCTCTAGCTTCCTGAGCCAAGCCATTGAGCATTTTTTCACAATGTAGTCAAGTACCCAACATACCTCTGCTCTCATCGTAGGGTCAGGAGAGTGACTCATGTCAATCAGAAGAAAATAATTTATTTTTCTTTCGTTCAATAATGTCAGTTTAAAAGGTCAGCCACGTAATCTGGACGTTCCTGTTAACTTTTCCTTTCCACACGTGCAGTTCTTAAACACCTCATCCAATCATGAAAACTTGAACCTGGACAACCCTGCCCTCACCTCCACGCCGGTATGTGGCCATAAGATGGCAGTTACCACCCCGCTGCACAGGGAACAGACTTTCAAAGCCCAGAAGGAAAACCATGTGTAAGTCCGTTGTCTTGTCCAGCTCATGAGGGTCCATTTCTTCACACTGGCATGCTGCCAAAGTTTGCTGGGTCAGCAAATGCTTTAGGCTGTGAGAGGGTGGGTTTAGATTAGATGCAGGGAAAGAATTCTTTACCGAGAAGGTGGTGAGGCACTGGAGAGCAGGCTGGCTGGAGAAGTTGTGGATGGCCTATCCCTGGTTGAAGCCCTGGGCAACCTGATCTCGTGGAAGGTGTGCCTGCCTGTGGCAGGGTGTTTGGAACTAGATGATCTTTAAGGACTATTCCAGCCTAAACCATTGTATGATTCTATGCTTCCTGCAGAGTTGTTTGCTCACACATTCACATTTTTCTTGGGTGGGAGTAAAACTTCCGCTTTATGAAGGTAGGTTATTAAACCATGCATATAGGTTCTCCAGTTTTTAAAATAAAGTCATTACACTCTATCACAGTCAAAGAGATGTTCTGCTCTAAAGGCAAAATGGATTATAGGATCTCAGGGAAATATTTTCTAAAGTCTTATAACAATACTGCCTGTATGCATGTGTTTCTGTAAAGAGGTAGTATTTCCAAGCATCTTCCTTTAAAGTTCCTCTCCTTCTTTTTAAAGTTTCAGGACTCCAGCAATCAAGAGGTCGATATTAGAGAGCTCTCCAAGAACACCCACTCCATTCAAAAACGCACTTGCAGCTCAGGAAATCAAATACGGTCCTTTGAAGATGCTGGTAAGAAGGAAACAATGATAAAAGTTGCTTTGATAATAGTGCAGAGGGATGTTCTGGGACTTGGATATAACGTTTCTTTCTTTCAGCCTCAAACTCCAACTCATCTTGTAGAAGATCTGCAGGATGTTATCAAGCAGGAGTCGGAGGAATCTGCAATAGTGGCTGGGCTACATGAAAGTGGACCCCCTTTGCTGAAGAAAATCAAACAAGAGGTAAATCTCAAACTTACCTGAGGCAATTTAATTCAGAACTCTTTGCTGAGAAACTTATAGCAATGCCTTTTCTGTTAAATAGCTGTGTCTGCTTTTCTTTCATGTGAGCCCCAAGATCTTAGTGTCGGTTCCATATAGTACACTAGGCATGTCTAATTCATCTCCCATTGATTTCCATAGAAGTCTTTCTGCTGTTTTCAGCAGGGGTTTGCTTGGGCCGTTCTAATGCAGTTTTCGTTTGAAACTTAAAAAGAAAAGAAAAATTAGACATGAATTTGGATTGAATCTTTCAAATATTGGTGAAAAGTATAGAAGAACCCCATAGGGACCAAGCTCCATGGAGTGACTTAGAAACCTGAACATTTGAGGACATTGCATTATATTACTTTGTCACTAAAGTTCTAAAAATACATATATTCTCAATCCTTTCTAGGGGATTAAACTCCTGAATACTGACAGAGCACTGAGTGCAAGTATTCAAAGTTTTATTAGATGGGGATTTTTTTTGGAGAACCTTGAACTTTTTTCTTCTGCAAAGAGCAAGGCTGCTGTAAAAGATGTGACTGTAAACATGCATTTTGCACCTCTGTGAAAAATATTTGTTAAGCAACTGACAGAAATCTCCTGGTCAGTTATGTAGTGGTTGAATGGTGCCTTTTCTTCTTGCAGGTGGAGTCTCCAACAGATAAAGCTGGAAATTTTTTTTGCTCAAGCCACTGGGAAGGAGAAAACCTGAACACTCAGCTCTTTACACCTGGGTCTACAATGGAAGATGTGCCAGTAAGTATAAGTTTTCACACCATCAAAGGAATACTTTGTTTTACATCCCTGTTTGATTATTAAATGCTAGAGAGAGTATTTTTTTCAGATTTTCTTCACAAGTAGGCTTTATTCCTTATTTCTATGTCATTTTCCTGTACTAAGCTTAAAAAGAAAAATGCTACTCTTAATTATCACTCTGATAACTATAGAAGGTTGCAGAAGTTGCAGTCATTTTGCAGCCCACAGACTTTGAAAAGCCTACACTTGAAGGATGCCTGCACCTGTGTGTAGAAATGACTAGATCACAGAATTAAAAACTGGTGAAAGAGAGAGAGACTCTCTCGGTTTTTGCAAAGGAGACCTTGCATGAGCACAGCTCCCTTTGCATTGCCAGGACTTATGGGCTATTCAGTGTTGCTGTTATTCTTGAACTTGTGATTTGCACTGGATGGAAAACCTTTGCACAGGGCAATGCTCCTGCAAAGCCAAGTCCCAGGGACATAGGGCTGAGGTCTGCTCCTCATCTGTGGCTGTGCCCAGTGTAGCAACTTCTGCACTCAAGCTGAGTTTACTTACAGTGCATTCCAGTTCATGTTGTTCTCATGAGTTGCTGAAAACCTTTTTCTTTTCTCTTTTCCTGTTCAGAATCTTCTTACCAGTTCCATTTTAAAGATGCCTGTGTCTGAAGATGATGATAGTTTTCACAAAACAGTTGCAGTGCCTAGAAACAGGCCACTAGCTAGTCCTCTACAGGTAATTATTTCTTGATAAAAGCATCCATACGTATAGATATTGCTTTCTCACAGACCAATTTTAAGTTTTGGGTACGGAAGAATGAAATGTTCAGATGAATGTGGCTGAGGATCTCACTTTGCCTGTGGAATATGAGAGCACAGTGGCTGCAGCAGAGCCAGGAAGCTAAATTTGACACAGCTCTGTGTGTGGGGCATTGTAACTCAGATGGGTGCAGTGTGAAATTGGTAGGATTGAGAATTAATGTGGGCCAGAGGGGTTTTCTTTCCTATAGACTTCTTGTAGGTGGCACTGCTGTTTTTGGAGATTTGAGTGATGTGGTGGTGGCCAGAGCTTGTGACTGGCCCTGGGGTGAGAGGAGAGACTCCAGCACTGCCTGGCTGGCACAGGTGTGGCCAGTATTGCCCATCCAGCCCAGCACCAGGATGGCCTTTCCCCAGTGAAGGCTCAATGTGTAATTGTTGTAAGTCAGATGTCAGGCTGGGGTTTATGTGTCTGTGCTTTTGCCAAGTGTTAACAAACACAGACATTTGCTGTGCTTTCAAACAGAACTGTTGCACAGGGGCCGATCCAAAGCCCACCAAGGTCATTAGCAGCCAGTTTGGCAGCTCTTGTGTACTTTAGGTGGAACCCACTGCAAGTCATTCAGAAAACAAAACTTAATTTCTGTATTTCCAAGGTAGATGACTAAGTGATTTCATAGCCTTTCTCCGCTTGGGAGAACTAAAGGAAAGTGTCTCATTCCCCAGGGTGAGTCACTGGCAGGAAGGAAATTGTAACTCCATAGTTCCTGACTTTCAGACGAATAGTCCACATGGCTAATCCTTTCTTTCCTCCCTCTTTCCAGAATTTACATTTGGGCTTATTTACAGTAGGAATGAATAAAGGCTGGTTTTGATTAAGCATTTCTAGCCAGGCATTAAAAAAGGAGATAGTAAAATTTCACACATGTCCCCATTTGGCACAGTTTGCCATGGAGTAGCCTTGTATTTTGTGCTGCAGAATCACTTGATGAAAAACAGCTTTGGAGAGCAGGGACTAGGACTCCCCTTGGCATGTGGGATCTGTAGGGGCCAAAGACTCATACTCAGCATTGTTTATCTGCTCTACCCTCATGACCTGTGTTTCTTGGCTGCACTGTGGTTGACAGCCAAGAGAAGGGTTTGCAGATCCGCTATCCCTGATCTAGGGCAGTGTATAGGGGCAGAATTCAGACCCACCTGGTGGCAAAGGAGCCTGGGTCTCCAGCTTTGCTGGGGCTTGCTGGAGCTCCCTGGTGGGTGTGTGGGAGGAGGCTGCTGGTCCCCCTGAGCTCAGCCCTGCTGTGCCCCAACACCTGTCTGAGAACCGTGACCCCAGCCAAGCTCCGGGCTCCTTCACAGATTTAGGACAAGATTTTCAGGTAGTTAAGCAGCATGGGCTGTGTGTTGTCCAGTTAGTGGTAGTTGCCTGCACTCTGGCTGTAATAAAAAAGAAGGATCTGAGAGGTCTGTAAAATGGGATCTTTTGATCTTTGGTGTACCGGTGTTATGTTTCCTGCTATCTAAAAATAATTTCTTTACAAGCTGCTGTAAACGAAAGGGCTTGTTTAACCTTCTGTCCTCACTCATGCTGATTTTGTTCAGGAAGTTTACATGAGTCAATTTGTGGATCATTCTGGATTCAATTCTTCAGTCCTTGGTCAGGAAAACCATGTTAAAAGTCAGGTATGCTCATTGTTTGGATAAAGAGGACCTTTTCTTAAGTAGGAACTGAGCTAAAAAGGACTTCCAACTCCTCTCAGTGTTTAAAGTAAGTTGAACTGAAAGAAACAGTAGTTGTAAAAAGCCCCAAAATGAATAGTTAGTATGCAGCTTGTATGCAGCTATGTACTAGCATGAAGGTAAAATTGTTCTCTCTGCTGATGAAACATTGAGCTTTTCATCTGAAATGTAATCTTAAGTGAAGAATGAGGCTTGAGGTTTCTGTGATGGTGACAAAGACAGCTTTTTCAGAATGAAATACAGACTTTTTATAACAATGCAGCATTGTCTGCCAGCGGCTGCACTATGTTTTGGACTTGGTGTCGTGGTTAAAAGTAATGGTAAAGCTACTTGGCTTCTTGTCAGAGGGGAGGAGTGTGGCTCTGTGCAGCTCAGAAAGGACATGCAGTCTGGCTCTGTTTCACAGCAGAAGCTGCTGCTGCTCTGTCCCTAACGCTTCCCCTCCTCCTCCCCAGTGTAAATGGACTCGTGATTAGGGCATAGCATGTCTAAATGGTGCAAAGCCATGGAAAACATTAGCCTTTGTGCTTGCTCTTGTCTTTACTCTTTGTGTCTTGTACATGAGCAGATTTTAGCACGTTTTAGTGTCCTATGCTTTCTACCCTTCCTGGCTTGAGTTTGGTATCTCACCCTCATGAACACATGCACAGACACAAACAAATTCTGGTCTAAATCCACTGCTCCCATGAAAGTAGACATTAAGCATGAGGGAACTCCTGTGGGTGAAATTTAATTGTGTCTGCGTATGTTGACATTGCTGCTGCAAATATTTTGGGCCTGATCCAACTGTTCTGACTTAGGCAAATTCTCACTGACTTCAGGCCAAGAAAGAATTACAGCAGTCTCTGCACCTTGGGATCTGTGCATGGACAGGGAAGAGAGAAACTTAACTTAACTTAGGGGTTTTTTTTTAATATGCTTGGTTCTTAAAATTCCATTTTCTTTTAAATTCGAACTTAGAAAACTAGGAGGCAATATATTTACCAGCCCACAGTTTTCCATTGCTTTAATAATTTGCACTACATTTGCACAATGATATTTGGCTAGCGAAAAACTGATCAAAATCCTTGATTAGTTATTGTTTTGCTGTTAAATTCCAAAGAAGGCAAGAGTAGCAAATGTTCAAACACATCTCTAATGATATTTTTTACTGCATTTTGGGTACACGACTGATTGTATGCCATTTAGTAAATAGCAGCTGATGACCCTATCAGATAGCACAATATGATTCACCTTCACTTAGCAGGAGCAGCACGTTGCATCATTTGGCATGTGAGGTCAGGTAGCTCCATATAAAACCACTGGATTTTGGTGCTGTCAGTGCTGTATAGAGCAAAGGGAGAAGAAGCCTTTGTAGACCCAAGAGGAGTTTGGGTTTTATCCTCATTCAATCCCCTGTTAAGTCTCCCTAAGTCATGGGCTGTAAAGGCAGTTTTGTGTAAGATCTTTCTGGTAAGGTGTGGAGGTTCAGCCAGCTCTTTTGTCCTGTCTGACAAATCTCATGGTTGTGCATTGAGTATTATCAGACTGGCAGGAGCAGGAATGTCTCAACAAACCCACATGTTGCCTTGGGGTAGACTTACTCTCCTTTGCATGATTCCCAAATATTTCTGCTTTGAATTCATGGGGTTAGTTAAAAACCTGTATTTTTGCACCCTATATTTTTGTCACTTAGTTGCATGTCAGGGAGATTTTGGTCTCACTAGCAGCTTTTCCAAGGGTTAAGATTTTGGGATAACCTGCTCCAATACCAAGACAAACAGATGATCTGTACTGAGCATGCGCTTGAATTTTGCCTTGTAAGAGGTTACATAAAAACCCCTCTGTTTCTGGCCCTTCCGATGTCAAAGTTAAATTTTATTTCACATTATGTTCTGTAGCAGTAGCGGTACATAATACAAACTATCCTAACATAGACATTTTAACAGATAGAAAAGTAGGCTAAATCACAGACCTTCCACCTAACCCTGCAGGCTATCAAAAGACACCATGAAATAGAGCCTTTTAAGAAAATAGCACTGCTTTGATATCTTCTTCCCCCAGTAACAAAGGAAACAACACAAGGTAGAAGCCCTGCAAGCTAAAGAGAATGTTCTTCAACCCCTAGCTCCTGTCACTTTCCATTTTTTAACCACAGACTGACACATTTCAGCTCGAATTTCCTGACTTTTGGCGGTTTATGTAGCCATTTTCTTCAAAGAATAACTTTAAAGGATTTTATAACAGTTACTTGGTTAACCTTTTTTCAGGTGTTTAAGCTGTCATGAAGCTTAATTTTCCCAGTTTAAAAAGTGAAATGTTTTATTTGCAGCTGGTTGTAAGACGAAGCGGCCAGGAAGGCAGCATGGTCTCCTGCAACAGCAGGCTTTCTCTGTTTTTCCTCCGTGGCTTTTTGGGGGAAAGAAGGTCCTGAAATCTCATACTTTGTTTAACCAAGGGAGAGGGGGAAGCACCCTGTGTTTGAGATTTGTGCAGCAAGGGAAGGTAGCCCCACAGGTTTCCCTTGCTTGTGTTGCCCCTTCTCTCCCCAGTGACTGATGTGTGTAGGAAGGAGACGGGCTTGCCACAGCTGAGGGAGCCAGAGAAGGTTTAAAGTTACAGGCCAGTCATTATATATTTTCCTCCCAGGTCAGCAGAATTTGGGTTCCAAACAGATTGGAAGTTAGGACTGCCCTGAGTTGGTGATGGTCTCTCTGGAAGAAAAGTGACAGCTTAACTATTATACATTTTCTATTATAATATAATATTTACATATTATACATTTGCAGCAATGTATGCTGGTCTCTGGGGGAAAAAAAAAAATATTACTTAAGGACAAAACTAGAGAGGGGAAGAATAGGAGTTGCAGGTGCTTAGCCCACTTCCATATCTTGTCCATTCATCTTACTTGGAAAGTAAGATTCATCTTGAGCAGGAGTTTTATCTGAGCAAGAACTTCAGGGTTAAGCTCTTAAAAATGCCATCAAATAGCTCTTTCTAGCTCTGGTATCATGCTTATAACAAAAGCTGAAAAGTTGCACCATCTAATTCTTTCACATTTAATAAACTGTATTTCTGAGCAACTTGGAAAGCCCCAGAGTTTGGGAGAAGTCTGTCCTGTGCCCCAGAAGAAGCTAACAACGGGGTTAGGAATAATGGTCTGTCTTGTCAAACGAGATAAAAAATTCATTTATGGTCACTTTAGTTTTTAATTAGTCTTTACTGTCTCGTCTTGATAAGTAAAAGGGTTTCTTCTGCCAGTTCTGCATCCTTACAGAATAGAAAGCCATGTTATTCATATGCTGTCTATTGTATTCTGCTAGGAAATTGTTATGCTTAGTGCGTTGTTTTACTGCTTCAGGAGTGCTGCATTTCTTCTTGCAAGCCTCCTTTTCAGTGGCACATTCTGCAGACAATCTATACCATGTAATCTAAGGGAAAGCTGGCAAGAAATCCAGATTTTTGCATGAGGGAAACATGGTAAGAGACCTTCGTATTGAGCATTTAAAATATTTTAAACACACTAGATTTTTTAAAATTATTTTTAAATACCAGCAAAGCTTGACTAAATTAGTGGAAATGTTTGTAACACCACTAGCTTTGCTGGAGTTGCTGAAGCTACCTGCCAGCAGAGCAAAGATGTAAAATCTGTCTTCTAACACAGTTCTTTGCCCAAGGATTTCTACTAGACTTTGATCAGTTTGGGAGCTCAGCACTGCAGGACTGCAGCAGTGTTTGGTTTTGGCATTGGCTTCTAACACAAAAGGTGTTGTAACACAGGAGCTTTCTTAAGCTATAGAGACAGCATATGAAAAGGCAGTCTGGACTACAAGAGCAGAAGGACTAGTTCTATTAGAAAAGCACCTTTCCACATTGTTTTCTTCCCTTACTCTGGTCTGTTTTCTCTAGATGGTCCAAGTTTTTATTTAAAGTGCTTTAACTGGATATCCCGGTTACAGCTTTGACAGTTTGTTTACAGTTCACATTTGCCTGAAGGCAGCTGAAGGCATATTACAGGATAAATAAGGTAGTTTTGCTGCCAGGAGAAGGATGTACTGGTAGGATTATTGAGGTTAAAAAAAAAAAAAAAAAAGAGAGAGAAAGAAAAGGGACAGGGAGAATGGCATAGCTGGAATTGTACCATAGATCTGTAATTTAATCCTGTGGGAGCTTGCAGTACTACACTTTCTTCTCTCCCCCCCACCCTGATTTAACTTAAAGAGAGAAACTGCTGTGTTTGGAAGAGAAAAATACAGTGGAAGTACTGGCTGAAAAGGTTTAAATTCTTTTAATTGATAGCAAAATTAAGACTAGTCTCCTAGTCTGTGAGTCAATGAAAAAATTATGTATGTGGAAAGAATTTACTGTGGAAATCGCTTTCACTTCCTACTGGCTAGGAATTTAGGTGCCAAAACAAACACCTTACTCTTACATGACTGAATTTAAGCTGGATGAATCCATTGGATCAATGAAAACATGTCCATCAATTTTGATGGGGTTTGGGTCAGTCCTTCTGGCTTCTGGTTACAAAGATCATTTCCACCCATTGATTTGCAGAGTTAGACATGTAAGTGTGGTCAGGAGGGTGCAATGAGCATTCTGCAACAGGAGTGTTCTGGCTGGGGTTTCTGTGCTGTTTCCCTGCATGCCTGTAGCCTTCTGCCTGAATCTCTTCTTTTGATGCATTTGTTGAGCACTGCTGTCTGTGGAGTACTGCCACTGTCCTGTAACAGAGCCCTGTCAGTACTTGCTGCAATGCTGGCGTGGAAGAAGGCATTGTAGCATCTCTTTTTACCCTTTTTACTAAGAGATCCCACGGCTGTGTGTGACCAGGCCCAGCAAGGCACTCTGCCTGAGTTGTAGGACCCAGCACTCCCTGCCAAGGAGGGCAGGAAAACTGCTGCCATCAGGATGACTTTCACACGTGCCTCTGGCACTGCGCTGCAGGGCTGGCAAGGCACAGGCATTGTGCTTTGTTTTGTGCTGGCTGCCGAGAGTCAGGGCTTCAGACAGAAAATGTTTATTAAAAATACCCACTTAAATGTTATCTGAGTTCCCCGAGGGTGGAGTGGAAAACTGTGTTAGTAAATATGCTGGATCAGAAAACATACTACTTTGGGTCCAATTCTTCTTTCTTCACTGGAGAAGAGCTCTCGCCATCATCACTGAGATGCAAAGTTAGCCTCTTTTTTATAAGTTGTCACAACAGGGAGAGGGGGGGGAAAGTGTAAATAGTGTCATTTTCTGGGAGAAATAATACATGGATGAAAACTTTTCTGTCCCTACAGCAAGGCTGAAGTCGTTTCAAGCAGGCTCAAGTGAGGGGTGGAGTTGGTCCTCCTGTGCTTGCTGTGTCTGCTGCCCATTGCTCCCCGGGGCAGCCAAGCCCAGTGGGAGGGCAGAGGGTTACTGCCTGCCTGAGCAGCTTCTGCCACACTGACATCAGGTTAAAGATGAAGACCAGGCTTTCCGTGGAATGAGTGACATGTAGCAGCCTGCTGAGATGTTGGTGATATCAGGATACAGATTTTTTTTTTTTTTTTTCCTACTAAGCACATGGCTGTTAATACAAAGAGCTCTGTGTAGATAATAACAATTAAGCCTAATTTATAAAATAGGGACACTCCTTACCTGAAGTTACTTACATTTTTCAGAAACCGACACACTGTGGCAAATGGTCTTTTCCTTACATATTTTCAGTTATTTAAGGGACTGCTGATCTCTCATTTCTAGATTGGTTCACTGAAGCTTTGGGGATCACAGGGTAATACTGGTTAGATGCATATTTTTGTCCTTGGAAATTATGGATATTCAGGAACTATCAGCTGCTTTTGAGGTGTACAGAACAAATCCAGCTTCTAAGTAAAACTGATGGCATTATACCAGGCATTAATTTGGTTCCTCATGCAAATCCCTCTAAAACAGCAGGGAAAAACATACACAGGTGACTGAGTGCCACTGAGGATCTGTTGAGTTGTAGGCTCCCAGCTTGTGTAGGTGCCTTTGAAAAAGTTACTCTGGAAGTTGTTTAACCAAAACATAAAAGGAGCTGTGGTGTGCTGCATGCAGGTCTGTGGCATGCAGAAAGTGTGTCACACCTGCTTTCTGCCATGTGCCCTCAGCTGAGCCACAGCACAAGGTGCACAGCTCTAGAAAAGATGTGGACAGCATGTCTGTTCACAGCTTTCTCACAAAAACTGCAGAAACGTAATGATTTGAGGCCTGGTTCTCCTTCAGAAAGGGAACTCCTACTGAAGCCCAGCAGTTTTGGGCATTCAGGAGAAGAGGCAGCATTTGGACCTTCTCTACAGAGAAGAGAAAGCCGTGTCTAGGGAAGCCCAGCAGAAGTTTACAGAGGACTAACATGCTTGCTTTGTTATTCACTGGGTTTGTCCCTTTTAGACTGTAAGCCCTCCAAGGCAGGAACCTCGGTTCCTGTGTTTGTACTGGTGCCCTGATTAGGGCATGTTATGTGAAAATATCTGTATTTCATAGCTGCCCAGCCTTTTACTATCTGTATGTCTCAGATAACACTGTTTACAGTCAGAAGAGCATTCTGTAAACATTTAGGCCAGAGAATAATGTAAGGATCCTCTTGCAAAGTTAACAACTAGAAATTGAAGTTAGCAACTAGAAGCTGGCAGAGAGAGCCATGGGCACGCCAGGACAGTTCTGCTCTTAGCAGATGGTTTGCAGTCCACTAATTATGATTCATCCAGCGTCCTAGAGGTTGGGAGGGCTTTGGACATTTTTTTGAGCAATGTAGGTATTGTACTGCAAAGATGATCCTTTTTGGATGCGATGGAGAACGGAGAAAGGTTTCTCCTGTTTTGTCTTTACTGGTGAATCCTGAGCATACACCTTCTCAATATTTAGCAGTATTGGAATCCCCTTGTGGAAAGATAAGCACAATTGTGTGCATTTTTGGAATTCAGAGTATTTGTACAGCTAACTACATGATAATAGAGGTTTTATTCAGTCTTAGAGAAAATTTCAGTGTGGAAAGGCAGACACACTGGGTAAGTGAGAGAGTTCAATAGAAAAAAATAAAAGTGTGTATCCTGGTAAATTCCAGGAGCTTTGAAATTTCATTGCTGTTTATAGCTCAAGGCAATGAGAAATGTCTCATGTGTAGTGAGTAAATAAATACAGCACACACAGCGCTCTGCAGATAGGTTTATCTCATTTTAGCATTATACTAAATGCTGTCTGCAACCTCCATAAATACCACAAGAAGTGAAATGGCTTACATGATAATTAAAAAGCTGTTTCTGCTGAGAGTCAGCCCTCCCCTTCTCCTTTGCCAGAGGAGCTGAGCTGTTGGGCGGGCGCTGATGGCTGCACACAGGTGAAAGCGGCTTGGAGCATGGGAATCCTCTGCAGCAGTGGTCAGGCTGTCGAGCTTGTCAGGGCCTTTCAGGGAACTCCAGGACAGAACAGCTGTATTTTTAGAATGGAGGTCCAACAGGAATTTGTGCATGGTCATAACACTGAATATTTTAACTGTGGGCTGTAGCCTGTCTGTGCTCCGTTGACCATAAAGTTCGCCTGCCAAGTACATTCTCATTTAGACCTTTCTAAAGAATTAAAGGCAAGGCTGTAGAAGTGGCCTTATAGACTGCCTATATATCAACTATTCATCAACTGCCTGAGAGAGGAGCAGGAAAGTTTGGATCTCTTCTGGTGTCCTCTCTGCAGATCATCTGGACTATCTGCCCCTGTGGTCGCTAGCTGAGAAGTCAGGGTGACATTTTTTTGCCTGTTGAGATTTCAATTTCTCGGAGGACAGGACAAAATCCCACTGCTTGTTCACGGAACAGTTAATTGTGAGAGGGCCCAGCTTTGGCTGAGACTATGGATAAGTCACACAGCATTCAAAATAAATCTCTCTCTCTTCTAATTTAGCATCTGAACAACGCCTGGGAGTCAGCGTCCTGCGGGAAGATCGAGGATCAGATGGCTCTGACAGATCAGGCACGCAAATACATGGCCACCTTCCCCACCCGGACTCTGGTGATGTGAAAGGGTCGACACACAGAGAAGCATTATGGTTTTGAGAACACTTCACCTCCACTGGGAAATTCCTGTTCCTCTACATGAGAACTTTTCATGAATGGGAGAAGAGCCTATCTTTGTTGTGGTACAACAGTTGGGAGCAGCACAAAGTGCATTTAGTCACTCAGCATATATATTCTTGTTGGATTTCACCCAACTTAAGAGTTTGTGTTTTTTTAAGGATACTTGCCTAAATTATTAGGTATTGAGTTTGAATCAGTAATTAATGATCTTAAGTGCAGTCTTATAATAAAGATAATCTTTCTTGTACTTTTTGAGATCAAGCAGACTTAATACACCAGTATTGTTATTTCAGTGATGTGCTAGCCAGGGGTGGGGTTTAGTTTGTTTCTTCTTTTTTTTTATTTTTTTTTAATTTTGTTTTTTAATAATAAAAGAGCAGGTACTCAAACAGATGTATTTTAAATCACTGAACAAAATTAATTGGTGTAAAATACTGAAGTGAAAAGCATTACTACAAACGCTTGTCTGTGCAAAAGGGGAAAGCTGATCAAGATCGTGAATGCTCAAACATCCATGCCTCTTGAAATACTCCTTTCTGTTTTGGTTCTAGGCCATTATACATTGTCTGTTTCTGTTGGGGGGAGGGGGTGGGTAATTAGCTTGCTTTAAAAAATATTACTGTATGAAACATAGATTTATCAGAAAAATTATATTTTTATTCAGTAATTTAATTTTGTAAATGCCAAATGAATACTGTGTTTTGCTGCTACAGACCTTAGCGTGTAGACTTGCTGCTAGTGTAAAAGGAGCAGTAGAGCTTTATTTGGAAAAAAACAAATGTTGATGTTAGCTAATTGACTATGCACTAGCATTTCAGATTTTTTTGTTTTAATTTTTTTTACATCATTTATATTTTTTTCCCCTTTTTTTTATAAGCAATATTTTTGAACACTGTTCTTGGGAGATTTTTATTTGTGTGGATGTGTTGTTTTATTTCTCATTGGTTTGTAACAGCATGCATTGCACCTTCATATGTTTGGGAGAACACTGTCTTGTTCATGTTGTCTCTTTTGTTCCATGTCTAGCTAGTTGTTCCCTAACTTGGGTCTTGTGTACCGAATCAGGTTCTTAGAAATACATGGTTCTTTGTACTGCCATATCAGATCTTTACTGATATGGCAAAACACTGATTTTTTTTTTTTTTTTTTTTTGTGTTTTTATAAGAGCCTCTGACTTTGCTGCCTTAATAGCATTTGGTGCAGCTTTATCTGCACTTAATTTTTTATACAACAATGTACTGCCGTGTAGATAAATAAAGTGTGTTCTTTTTTACTTAAACCTGCATGGCCTCCTAATCTTGTTTGTCTTCAGTTTTTTGGCAGTGGTGTTAAAGGCAACAATCAAGCCAAGAAGGCTTTTCCCAGCACACCTAGATAAGCAAGGAATAGAGTTTTGCACATCATAGCCTCAAAATCCTCGGTTCTCATTGATTGTTAAGGAAGCGGAGGGAAGACAGCACAAAACAGCCAGTCCTGAGCTCAGTTGTGGTCTCAGAGCACATCTCTATTGACACCAAAGTCCAGGTCAGCTTCAGTCAGTGGGAGACTCGCTGCACCTTTTGTGCGAAACTGCCCTTATCCCACAATGCTGGCTAATTTATTTTTTCAACTAAGGACAATCAGGTCAGGAACCAATTGAATAAGAGAAAAATATTCTGGAGTTCTTGTAACTGTAGAACAGGCTGTTTTCATGCTTGTCTTAAGAAAAGAGAGGTGAGAATGTGCTCTGAAACCCTGGTGCACTGTGCTTCACAGCAAATAATTGGACAGAACTGCAAGAGCCTCACACAGCTGACGTGCTGAGGGACTTTCAGCCCCAGGAAGGCTAGAGATAAAAGCAATTTCTGACAAAAAAAGCAAACAAACAAATAAAAGGCGTCTTCTCAGAAAAGAAAAAAGAGCATTTTATTGAGTAGCTTGAAAATAAATTGCTGAAATGTATGTTGAGGCAAATGCTTCGAAGTTACGCTGATATTCATGAGAGCAGACATCAGTTCTGTGATGAAAGAGGGGCCATGGGTGTGCTGAGCCCCAGAGGTGCCTTCCAGACCTTTTTGCTCCTTACCCAGCCCCTCCCAGCTGAAGCCCCCTCCAAGTTGTTTTGTGTGCTCCTCATCCATCCCTCCTGTGCTTTTTGGGCTCTCAGCCTGGCACTGGGGGCCAGGGAGAGCCCCAAGGCAGGTTCCCAGTGGTTTCCACAGGCAGGACCCGGGGCCAGGCGTGGGTGCCGGAGCAGGGGAAGGCTGTGGGAGCCTCTGCCTGTGCCAGAGAAAACCTTGTGCAAGATGTGAGGGCCCTGGGGGACTCAGTGGTGTACAGCATGGGAAGAGGGAAAGGCCTGCCTTGAGGCATGCCACACGGTTTAGGCAATGTGTTACAGCTCTTACAGAAAAAAAAGGAAAAAGAAACGCCAAGCTTACCACAGGACTTCAAGGCAAAACTCCTGCCTTGTACAGCTCCAGTGGTAACTTCACAGATCCTGGCTGAGTTTAAACAGACTATTATCCCAGAGCTGGGAGCCATGGAAGCTCAGCCTGCAGGTGCCCAGAAAAAGGAGTGGGCTTTTTTTTTCCCTTACACCCTCTGTTGCTTTAAAATCCATTTTAAACTCACATAACTATTACAATAATTGTCTTCTTGATGGGTGCGCTTACATCTAATACAGAGGAAAATGGTTATTGTCCCTGTTTCTCATTTCACTGAAAATGCAAAACACTCAGCAGATTCAGGCCAGTTTGTGTATGTTTCTGCATGCATGTTGTGCCCAGCATGGGTGAAGGAAGAGGCTTTCTTTGGATGCTAGAGCCAGGAAACTGATTATTTTCCCTCCACCAATAGTGGCTACACTTCCATCGCAGAAAAGTTCCACCTCCTGCACATCTTTCTCACACAAATACCCCATGTGAACCCTGCTCTTCTCACTGTCTGAAATACACATCTTCCAGAGGCCCAAGAAGAGTCCCACATCTCTGGCAAATTCCATCTTGAGCCAATCAGGCAAGAGCTGTCCTGAGACGGGTCCGTGTGAATGGTTTGGTGACTGCTACCCGACCCAGCAGTGGCCCTTTGCACAGATGTGTGGCCATCCTGGGCCTGTTTAAACCTAGAGTAACCTACCAAAATGAAGGGAAAGCAGGTTCAGTCAAGTTCTCATTTAATGGAGAGTAGATATTTGGCTCAAATTCCTATTAACCTTTTTATCCTCTGTAATTACAACTTAATAAAGTTGTCAGCGGGAATTCTTTTGATTTCTGTGAAGAATTTAAATTATCGTTTCAGCATGTGCCACTAATTAAAAATGAAGAGGCAAAGGAGCCAGGGCAAAAAATAATGAAAAGTATCAGAATGTGAGGTGTTTCCCAGATAATTCCCTGTCATTCTTCAGCCTTCTATGCAGGCTGGGGGGTCAACTCTCACAGGTCTGACCCATGTGACAGCTAGAAGCCTAAACTGAAAAATGGCCAGAGTTTGAATTGGTTTGGGAGAAAATATTAGAGCTTGAATGAAAGAGGGCTTTGTAGTTAGGAGCCAAAATAAATCTGCTGAGGGTAAAGCAGAGAGCAAGCACAGCATTGAATATTCCGTAGCATAGAGTGATTCTTCAAAAAAGCCAGAAGGTTTTTTTCCTCTGTATTTATCATCTTGATCCTTACCCGTGCCAGATAAATCAATGGCAATCAGCTCTCCCTCAAGCCCACACAGGCAGGCACATAGGCGAAGGATATTTCTGTAACATTGTGACAGGAGTATCATAATCATAACCTCCTCTTACTCCTGCCACATTTAATTGTATCTCTGCCTCATTCCTGATCTGAGACAGGTGTGATGGCAAAGCACAGAACAAAAGGCTTGTTCCTAGAAATCTATTTAAAATGTGTTGGGTTTTGTTTTTGTTTTGGATTTTTTGTTGGCTGTTGATTTGTTTTGTGTTGAAGGAGCGTGTTAAAAATATTTCTGTTCAGGAAAGAACGGTTCTGAGGCACTGGTCTGCATTTTGCCTGTGTCCTTGTTTCCTAGCATGGATGGAGTCTGTCATGAGAGCAGATGTTACTCAGGAGCAATAGTGGAGTTCTGCCTGGGTGGCCAAGGAAAGACACTGGTCACATCTTTCAATCTCCAGTCTAATGTCTTAATTTAAAAGGAAGTCATGTTTCCTGACCAAATGCACTTGTTCCCTTTGTTTGCCTCTTTGCTTTGAACTTGACTTTGATGTCTCAGCAGTTTTCACTGAAGACCCTGCTACCAGCATAAACTTGTTTGTGACTCTTTCGCTCTCAGTGACTGATGGAGGTGAGATAATGAAGATAGACCAGAGAGGTCCAAATTCTGCCTTCAGCTGTGTTTGCAAGTTGGCAGTGGTTAAACAGCTCATTGTTAAGGGCTGCAAAATGTATTCACTCTGCTATTATTTTTCCATAAATCACTGGTGATCAGGTTGTTGAGTTTGTTTTTGTTTTTTACAATCCCTCTTGATACATGACATTTCCAGAAGGCATTTTTCCAATCCATTTGAGTATCAGAATAGTTGCTGACTTTTTAATTGTTTTCTAAAACAGCCTGTACTTCTCAGACTGTGCAGATCCGCTTTTACAGCCTGGCTCCACTTACAGGCAAGGAAATTTCATTTTGGGGGAAGACAACTTTTACCCCTTGATTCAATCACTACTCATCACCACAGCTCCAGGACGCGCTCCGTGCACACACATCTGTCAGAGAAGCGAAGAAGACGAAGAAGAAAGTTTCAGGAAGCTCTTCCCAGACAGGTTTCTACACTAACCATAGAGACCATCTCTGCATCTCCAGGTTCCTGCCAGCCCAGCTGCAAGCCTGCCGTGGCCCTCCTGACACAGTGAGCCCCCAGAGAGCCTTCAAAGGGTGCCTGCAGGTGTGCCTTCCTGCCCGCTGCCTCTCATGTTTCATTAGCTCTCATCAGTGTACATCGGCACAGGAGTTATCTGAAGGTGCAGGCAGGCTATCACTATTTCAGTGATGGGGTTTTGATATCTGTGTTCCTACCAGCTCAAGGCAGAGACCTCTCAGGTGCTGGCTCAGCCTTCCTGTACAGATAAAAGTGCTGCTAGCCTGTGCTGCTGCTGGGAAATGGAAATCTGCAAGAGGTTAGAGCTCCTACCTGCTCAGCCAAGCCTTCTTGCACCAAAAAAATAAACTAAGAAACAGCTGTGGTTTGCTGTAGTCAAAGGCCTAAAATACAGTGAAATAATAAGGAAAAGAGAAGATACTTTGTTTTTGTTTTCTGCTCTGCTCATATTGGCCATCCCCTCTGCACCCCTACCCTCTTCATCTCTGTTTCACCAAGGCGCACACCCCTGATGGGGCTCAGGCCCAAACACTGCAGGTGAAGGATTGATAAGTCTCTGGTCTCCATAACAACAGTGAACCCAAGCCCATACTTGGCCAGGACTAAAAGACATGGAACATTTTCCTGTCCATGGCTCATGTCCTCCTGCCACTCCCACTCAGCAGAGGCCCCACACACTCACAGTGGTTCCCTTGGTATCCCCAGGCTCAGGATCATCTTCACTGAGCAGCGAGCTCTGATTGTATCTCGAGTAACATCCTCCAGTCAGGGAGGGACACAAGAGCCTTTCGCTGGAGGTGATATGCTCCTGGCTGGAAGGTCCACCGGGAGTAGGCAAGACAGCCCATGTTACACCCAGCTTTGGCACCTCTCAGCAGCTTCCCACCTGCCCAGGAAGGAGATGGGTTCTCCTGCTGCCCCATGAAGGTCCCACAGTGGCAGTCCAGGAGCAGCAACTCACAGGCTCCCCTCTGAGCTATCACCAGCACAGAAACACCCTGAACTTTCTTTAATCAAAGAGGTTAGAGTAATCCTTTTCTTGCCAACCTCTGATTTGTGGCCACATCCTTTAACAGAAAACCCATAACAAATACAAATGCAGCTTGCATGGTGATAAGCTACAGAACTGATGTCATCGAGTCACTCCTTCACCACTGCTCTGAAACCCAGGGCTTTCTAGTACAAACCCTCATTGCAGCCTGCTGGAGTAGCTACTCTTCGGGTCTCAGAGCCAGACCCAGCGTGATCAGGGAGGACTGAACCCAACACACACCTGCACCACAATTTTGCCACGCAAAAGCATGATGATTAAAATAAGATGCTGGATTAATTCAGCAGTCCCCCCTCATTTTTGTTACTACCAAGTTTTGCTGTGCTGTCTGTCTGACATCCAAAAAATACTTATTACCATCCTCTCTGGAAGTTGATCAATGGAGCAACTTGGTTTTTATGTGACAGAT